GCACACTCCCTTCTGGGGATGTGCCCGCAACCAAGGTACATGCTCTTGACCAGAATCAAACCTGGGACCCATGAGTCCGCAGGCTGACGCTCTATCCACTGAGCCAAACCGGTTAGGGCAGAGATATGCTACTTTTGGAGAAATTACCTTTTGAAAAAATCTTCTTTAGCCAAATGCTGGTCATAAAATGTCCAGTCGTTAAGCTGTGATGATAACTTTTTAACACAAAGATTCCTCCTCCTCCCAGTTAAAATTACACATCAAGTTTTCTTAGACTATCTGTGTGTTTTTTAAATTTTTTATTTTATTAATTTCTATAGAAAGAGAGGAGGGGAAATGGTGGGAGGAGTCAAGGGAGAGAGAGAGATTTGTTGCTCCACTTAGTTATGCATTCATTAGTTGATTCTTGTATGCGTCCTGACTGGAATCAAACCCACAACCTTGGCATATCAGGATGACACTCTAACCAACTGAGCTACCCGGCCAGGGTGAAACTACCAGTGTTTTTTGTAGTCATTCTGATTCTGACAACACCAGACTGAATATTGACAAATCTACTTTGCTAAAGTAATCTTTGTCCTTTGCTATGTTGCTGCCCATTTTCTGAGATAACAACAAGCCTAATTTTTAGGTAGTATTTCTGGACCATACTTTGTCTGTAATATCTTTGACAAACCAAAATGTTTGATATGAAATACTTACCAGAACTGCTTGTCTCTTGATAAGGAGGTAGTGTGGTGTCCAGTGACTTGTTAGGATTGTAATTCTTTACGTCCAAGAGTCTCCCTTCTTTGATAGATTCCCATATAAAATCCAGGTTTGCAATCTGGATATGGTTCTTTTGGATAGACTTCAGTTGGTACTGACTGAGAACATCAGCATTGTCTAAGATTATATGTGTACACTAAGAAAAAATAATCAATACATTATGCATTAGTAGAAACAAAACTTAAATTATTTTGTATCTGTAATTTTCACCCTTGCAAAGTCTTGTTTGAAGGTAATTTGCAACAATTTTCCTCAGATTTCTAAAACTCTTATAAGTAATAAAATTTCTTGTTACATTAAAATTTTTTTACATCAACAATTATTAAAGATTATGGATATGGATATACCATAATTGATTAACCAATCCCAGCGTTTTTTCCAAATTTTCACTCCTCTAAAAAAATGCTGTGCTGAATATCTTCATGTACACTTCTTGTACAACTTTGTTTTTTCCTTAAGGGTGGAATAAGAGGTTTAAAGGGTTTTCATTATTATTTTGTTAATTTGTAATTTTATTCACTTATTTTAAAATAAGTAGTATATGCACATTGTAGAATATCTAAAAAGTAAAATTATAATATTAAGTTAATTTATTCCTCACCATTTCTCCAGGTTCCTGTCCAGAGGAACCTGAGCTAATCTATGTAGACAACATGCATACAAGTACACAGCCCTCTTTGTAGCCACAGATGGCACTATACTAAACATACTGCTTTTCCACTTGACAATTTATTTTGGAGATCATTCCTCGTCATTACATATTGTGCGATCTCCTTCATTATAATAGCTGGTATGCACATTTCAAATGTTTATAGACACTGGCAAAACAACTGCTGAAAAGGTTGCAGTCCTGTATGTGAGAAATTCTAAAAGTGAGAACCTGTGTTGGTATTCTCTGAACTGAAAGAATATAAAAGGCATGCATTAATTCATCATCCACAGAAATCCTAAGACAGGTCAGTGGCTAACCTGGAGGAAAAGAGGGCCATTCTGTATCTGACATTCACAGATAAACTACCAAATGCCAGAGAAGTACCCAGCATCCAGCTAGAGTTGCCTGTGCTTCACAAAACAAACCCAGCTCCTTCCACTGGCAAGCCCAGGGCTGTGGTCCAGGAAGCGGCAGTCCCATCAGCCCACCGAGAGGGAAGAGCCTGCACCGGGCAGGGCCTGTACTTGTAGGCCTGGCACCTAACAACTTTGAATTTCAATGTTTAGTTCTTATGATGAGGTGGTTAAAACAGAGCAGGGTAACCTTAGTTATTTTCAAGATTTCATCTAGCTGTGAAATTCTGTATCTAAACTGTCAGTCCAACAGTTCATTTCAAGAGAAAAGGTAGCTTCCTTCCACCTTTAAATAAGCAGTACAAAGATGGGTTTTTTTCTGTCCTATAAGAACCACCCTTACAGGTGTCACTCCAGTGCTGACATACTGGTGAGTGACTAGAGTGCTTTTGGCAAATGCTGCACATTCTCCTTTGAGAACAGATTTGGCTGGTCTGATGTTACTTTTTTGGTGTCCTCAGCTGTGCTCTAATGATATTAGATTCACATGGCATAGAGGATTGTCCTATACAGCTCACAGGAGTAGGAGAAGATGGAATGGGGTGGTCTTCCCTCCTCTGCCTCTCTCCAGCCCATTCCCTGTGGGAGCTGTCACTTCCCCTGCCTCCACTGACTTCCCTGGTGCCAGTTTCTCTACCTACTTTTCTCACCATGACCTGCACCCCCTCAGGCACAATGGTCTATCACAGAAGAATTCTTAGGATATTTTACCTGCGGATTTAATAAGAAGGAAACATTTCCACCATTCTCCTTAATGTCAGTTTGTAGCTTTTTCTTCTGTTGACCAGGTAAGTGTTTTACTTTCAAACAGAAAGTACAATTTGCAAAGACTCCCACAGTCATCCTGTAGGGAAAAGAAGTTTCAAGTCATAACTTTTAAGGATTTGCTTTTCAGTGAATATGATAGTGACTTTAGAATTGTTCTACATGCAAACTGTGGGAAAGTGGGCATTATTTTTTTTAAAAAAGATATTGCAATCATATTATAATCACAAAAGTTGGATATTACTTCAGTTTTCAGTATGTATATTGGTTTTAGAATAATTTCTAGCCTTTATGGCTGATATTATGACACCCCAAAATCCTTTGGTATAGATTCGTAATATACATTTTTTTAAGACATGTGATTTTTAAAAATATATATTTTTATTGATTTCAGAGAGGAAGGGAGAGGGAGAGAGAACATCAATGATGAGAGAGAATTATTGATCCATCATGAACCCCCCCTCCCCTTTATCCCCCCTTCCCGCCCCCCTTACAGGATCAAGCCCTCAACCCCGGCATGTGACCTGACCGGGAACTGAACTACGACTCCCTGGTTCATAGGTCGATGCTCAACCACTGAGCCACACGGGCCAGGCATAATATACATTTTAAGGAAAACATGACAGATTTTAGTCACAGATCAAATATAGAAGCATTGCCCTGGCTGGGTAGCTCAGCTGGTTACAGCATCTTCCTGGTCCACCTAGGTTACAGGTTTGATCCCAGGTCAAGGCACATACAAGAATCAACCCGTGAATACATGAATAGGTGAAACAACAAATTGATATCTCTCTCTCTCTCCCTTAAATCAATCAATAAATAAAGAATATATAGAAGTGCCCTGGCCAGTGTGGTTTGGCTCAGTGGCTGGAGAGTCAGCCCACGCATGGAAGGATTGAGGGTTCAGTTCCCAGTCAAGAGCACATACCTGGGTTGCAGGTTCAATCCCCGCCCCAGTTGGGGCTCCTGTGGGAGGCAACCAGTTGATGTGTCTCTCTCACATTGATGTTTCTCTCTCTCCCTCTCTTCCTCCCTCCCTCCCTTCCACTCTTTCTAAAACAAAACAAAACAAAAATCAATAGAAAGAATACCTTCGGGTGAGGATTAATATCCTTGGTTGAGGATATATATATATATGTGTGTATATATATATATATATATGCATTAATTTCTAATTAAAAATTAACATTATGTGATAGTGAAACCATGGACTTTTATATTTAAGTCCTGGGAAACTTTCAGCCTCTCTCTCACAAATTCTGGCCACTTTATCCAGAAACTGTGGGTGCAGTTGGGAGCCTCCCTGGAACCCTTAGCTCTGATCCAGGACAGGCTGTAGCCTCCCCATGGCCCCCGGGAGCAGCTGTAGTCACACACATCCTCATAACCACTCTTAACACTTTTAGTTTCTCCAGTAGAACAGATCCCATGCGAGGGCTGTGCTTTGTTGATTTTTACCTAGACTCTAGGGCACACAGTAGGCATTCAATAAACGCTTGCTTACTAAAAACTCCCTCATCCATTAAAACCAAGGATTACGAATATCCTCTGACACTATTTGCATATTTGGACTCAAATGGCATCAACTCTGCACCTTCCTAATGGGACTATTGAGGCCCTGAGAAGAGAGGCCCCCCACTCTGGTGCTGCTCCACCTCCAGAAGCCTGTCACAGCTCTGAGCACATAGACCCGAACTAACGGGTGCTCACTGAATACAAGATCAAGTCAGCGCACGGAAAGGATCTGCAACACGCACACATTCGGAGTGAACTTCTCCTTTATTCTAGCGCCACATTTTACAGATCTTCATGTTTACTGTCATTTTGCAACCCAGAGCGTAAGGCTGAACACTGGGCCGCGCCCCGCTTTTCTAGAGACAGATTTAACATTCAGCCCCGGAAGGAATCATTAAACTCAATTCCAGGTTTTCGACTTTGAACTTCAACTGACAGTAAATGTTCCTATCACGCACGGTTTTCCCAATTACTCACGGTGTTCCTTGATTATCCATCAAAATCCTGGACTTTTTGCAAAAGCTTGCTTTGTAACCCAACTTTCAGAAGACAGACAAGCCCTTTGGCACGTCGGAAACAAGAAACGCAGGGCCCCGGCGCGACCGGCTCCTTCCGGGAGACCCGGGCCTGAGCGCCCGGGCGGCCCCCGCGTCCTGTCCCCGCCGGCGGCCCCCGCGAGCGCACCGGGCTGACGCCCAGGACTAAGACTACCCCGCGGCGCCCACGCACCTGCCAGAGGACCCGGCCGCCCCTGTACCTCCGGATTCTGGGCTTTCTGACTCCGGGCGATTCCGAGCTCCAGACTCCCCTGGGCGTTGACGAGGGCGGACGGGGCCGCCGGAGCCCCGCCCGCGCCGCCACCGGCCGCGCCCGCACCCGGACCGTGGGCTCCGCGGCCAGGTCGCGCCTGCGCAGGCGGGCTTTCCTTCCCGAACCAGCCCAGGGTTAGGATTTTTTGTTTCTGGCGGGATTTAGCAAATAAGTGGTGACTCCAAGTTGGATTTTGGCGAAAGTGTGTGGATGATGCTGCCATTTAACTGAGAAGTGAGGGTGATTTCCGGGAGCTTGGAACAAGCAAATTTTGGAAAGGTTTGGAATTGGGGAAACAGGAGGGTAAGATAATGAATTTAGTTTAAGACTTCCTGAGTTTGAAGTTCCTGGCAGTGTTCCTAAGTGGTTAGAAATACAAATCTGCTCTTCCAGAGAAGTAAGGGCTGGAGATTCATTGAGTAGCGGGTGAAGTGATGGGAAAGAATAAAATTTCCAGATATGAAGAAAATGAGAAAAGATGTAGAAAGGTTATGAATCTATACCCGACTACTGGCATACGTCAGTGATATTGCAGGGTGGGTTCTGGACCACCACATTAACACCAGTATCACAGTGTTACCAGAAAGGGAACCTGGCCTTTGGTGGGTGCGCCTAGGGCCAGTGGTAGTGTGTGGGATCTTGATATTGTGCAGTAAAAATTTCACAGCACGAGTCTAGGTGATTACAAGTGGAACATTTATTAAAGCTGGGGACAGTAAAACAAGAAAGGGCTTAGCATAGAAGAAGGAACAGAAGGGCCTAGGCTGAGCTGCCCTAGTTCTCTGGAAAGAGAGAGAAAAAGGAGCCTTGGGATCAGGTTCAGAGGTTAGTTAGCCAGAAGGGGCCACTGCCCATTGCTTCCCTGGTTGCAAGCCTGGTGAGGTCCTTGCATCTCTCTGATAATCAATGACTTTGAGCATTTTTTCATATGTCTCTTGGCCATCTATATGTCCTCTTAGGAGAAGTGTCTATATAGGTCCTTTGACCATTTTTTAAATTGGATTGTTTGTCTTCCTTTTGTTATGTTTTATAAATTCATTATATATTTTGGATATTAAACCTTTATCAGATGTATTTTCTCCCATACAGTGGGCTCCTTTTTCATTTTGTTGGATTTTTTTGCTGTGCAGAAACTTTTTATTTTGATTTAGTCCCATTTACTTATTTTCTCCTTAGTTTCCTTTTCCCTAGGACAGTGGCCGGCAAACTGCGGCTTGCGAGCCACATGCGGCTCTTTGGCCCCTTGAGTGTGGCTCTTCCACAAAATACCACGTGTGGGCGCGCACGTACAGTGCGATTGAAACTTCGTGGCCCATGTGCAGAAGTTGGTATTTTGTGGAAGAGCCACACTCAAGGGGCCAAAGAGCCGCATGTGGCTCGCAAGCCGCAGTTTGCCGACCGCTGGCGTTAGGAGATGCCTGCCTGTCGGGAAGAAAAGGGAAAAGGAATGGGGGGAGGGCGCTGCTTCCCAAAGGGAGATCACAGGCTGGGTCCTTTGTCTTGAGGCTTAATCTCTTTCTCTAAGGTAGGAATCATAGGGGAGGTCTCAGGGGAGGTTTTCAGCAGAATGTTAATCAGTTTTCTAGGTGTGCTCCTTCAGGGCTGTGGTCTTCACTAGTTGGTCAGTCATCAAAGCTGATCCTGGTGTCACCCACCTGATTTTGCTGCTTTTTTGAGCCAAAATACAACTGAGGCCTAGATGTTATTTCTAGGGAGGTGACCGTCTGTATCTGCTGTAAATTGCTCTGTCAGTTTGTTTAACTATCTCAGTTTCCTCATTCCACGTGTCCTGGTTTACTGGCCTGTCGCAACAGTAGAGCCAGTCACATGAATTTTTTGGTTTCCCAGTGCATATAAAAGTTGTGTTACACTATATTATTAGATAGGACAAGGGTCTCAGATCTGGGTGGTTCTGACAGTGCTATTCTTGCTAATGTTAACATGTAGCACAATATTTTGCAGATGCAGCTGTAAAGGGATGATCTTGACGAGGAGCCCAACAATAAGTTTAACCAACTGCCAAGGAGAAAATGTGTAATTAACTGAATATTGTATATAAGCAACAACTAAGCCTCCTTTCTGTAAGACAGAGGTTTGGGTATGAATTCCCTGTCTCCTTTACTTGCTGCAAGTAAATAAAACTACCTCAGGACGATCACACCTCATCCTAGCTCATTTGGTTCAATGGTTAGAGTGTGGGCCTGCATACCAGAGGGTCTCAGTTCAGTGTCACAGATTCAGTTCCTGCTCAAGGGCAGGTACCTGGGTTGTAGGCCCGAAGTTTCTTTCTCCATGTCTCCTTTCTCCTCTAAAAAAATTAATGGATGCCTGGCCAGTGTAGCTCAGAGGTTGAGTGTCAACCTATGACCCAGGAGGTTGAGGTTCAATTCTGGGGTGGAGCACATACCCGGTTTGTGGGCTCAATCCCCAGTGGGGGGGCTTGTAGGGGGCAGTGGATTGATGATTCTCTCTCATCATTGATGTTTCTACATCTCCCTCTCCCTTCCTCTGAAATCAATAAAAATATATTTTAAAAAATCAATAGAAAAAAATATTTTTGGGTGAGGATTATCAACAACAAAAAGATGACCACTTCTCGTTCTTGACTAGAACACCCCAAGCGGTGACCCCCTGGATTTCATTATAATATTCTAAACTATTAAGTGTGCAATAGCATTATGTCTTTTTTTTAAAGTACATAACTTAATTAAAAACCACTTTCGCTAAAAAATGTAAATTTATTTTAAAAATTTAAAATTTTTAAAATTTTTAACTTTTGCTAAAAAATGTTTGTAAATTTGTAAAAAAATATATATTATTAAAAAAATGCTTACTGTCATCTGAGCCCTAGGTGAGTGTAATCTGGTTGTGAAGGGTCTTGTCTCAATACTTATGGCTGCTGATTGCTCAGAGTGGTAGCTGCTGAAAGTTGGGGTGGCTATGTCAATATCTTAAAACTAGAGGCCCAGTGCACAAATTCGTGCACGGGTCGGGTCCTGCCGGTCCTCCCCAATCGGGGCCAGCTAGCTGGGGGAAGGGCTGCAGCCATCGGGCGGGTTGGCTTGCCCCAGTGCACATCATAGCGACCAGTCATTCTGGTCGCTTCGCTTTTATATATATACTAGAGGCCTGGTGCACAAAAATTTATGCACTCGGGAGGGAGGGGGGGTCCCTCAGCCCGGCCTGTGCCCTCTCGCAGTCTGGGACCCCTTGGGAGATAACAACCTGCTGGCTTAGGCCTGCTCCCGGGTGGCAGAGGGCAGACCCAGTCCCTAGGTGCAGCCCCTGGTCGGGCTCAGAGCAGGGCTGATTGGGGAGTTGGGGCGCCGCCCCCTGTCATGCACAGAGCAGGGCGGATTGGGAGGTTGCGATGCCACCCCCATCACGCACAGAGCAGGGCCAATCAGGGGGTTGGGGCACTGCCCCCTGTCACGCACAGAGCAGGGCCCATCAGGGGGTTGGGGAGCTCCCCCCGTCACACACAGAACAGGGCCGATCAGGTGGTTGAGGAGCTCTCCCCTGTCACTCACAGAGTAGGGCCGATAGGGAGTTGGGGCACTGCCCCCTGTCACACACAGAGCAGGGTGGATCAGGGGGTTGGGGCACCGTCACTGTCACACTCAGGGCAGGGCCGATGGGGAGGTTATGGCTCTACCCCATCACACACAGAGCAGGGCCCGTGGGGTGGGGGTTGGGGCGCCGCCCTCTATCACCCACAGAGCAGGGCCAATCAGGGGGTTGGGGCGCCGCCACTCTCACACTCAGGGCAGGGCCGATGGGGAGGTTATTGCTCTACCCCGTCACACACAGAGCAGGGCTGATCAGGGGGTTGGGGTGCTGCCCCCTGTCACACACAGAGCAGGGCCAATCAGGGGGTTGGGGTGCCGCACCCTGTCACACACAGAGCCGCAGGGCGATCGGGTTGGGGAGCTCCCACCTATCAGGCACAGAGCAGGGCTGATCAGGGGGTTGGGGCGCCTTCCCCTGTCACGAACAGAGCAGGGCGGATAGGGAGGTTGTGGCCCCACCCCCTGTCACACACAGAGCTGCAGGGCAATCAGGGGGTTTGGGCGCTATCCCCTGTCACACTGATCCCGGTGCCGGGAGGCCTCGCGGCTCTGCTGCTCCTGGTGCTGGGAGGCATATTACCCTTTTTACTATATAGGATAGAGGCCTGGTGCACAGGTGGGTGCAGGCTGGTTTGCCCTGAAGGGTGTCCTGGATCAGGGTGGGGGTCCCCACTGGGGTGCCTGGCCAGTCTGGGTGAGGGGCTGAGGACTGTTTTCAGGCTGGCGAGTGACTGAAGCTCCCAACCACTCCTTTTTTTCTTTTTTTCTTTTTTTATTCTGGGCCAGCTTTAGCTTTGAGGCTTGGCTTCAGCTCTTAGGCCTCCGCTGCTGAAAGCAGGTTTCTGGCCTTTGTTTACCTTCTGTATTTGAAACAATGTTGCAATCCTGCTGGCTGAAGCCCAGCGGACTAAAGTAGGCTTCTGGGGTTTTGTTTAGCTTCTATATTTGTAACATAGTTGCTTAGAGTTGCAGCTCAGAGGCCTGCAGCAGCAGGTGGGGCACGTTGGAGTCCTCCGTCACTGAAGCAAGCAAGCCTCATGTTTGCTTCAAGCTGCCTGGCTGCTGGCCGCCATCTTGGCTGGCAGTTAATTTGCATATTGCCCTGATTAGCCAATGGGAAGGGTAGCGGTCGTATGCTAATTACCATGTTTCTCTTTTATTAGATAGGACTAGAGGCCTAGCGTGCAATTGAAATCATGTGAGGAGGCGCCCTGCCTCCCGCTGTGCGAGAGGGGGCCGGGACCCATGCCTGACCCTCATAGCGCTGGCTGGCCGCAGTGTTGTGTCCGCTGGGGTGCGGCAGGTGCTCCTGTGTATTGTGTCTCCACTCCAGCCCGCCCCCAGCCCCAGCCTCCCCGCGGCCACTGGGGTGCGGACGGCATGCAGTCCCCTCCTGCTCATCTGCGCTCGCAGCTCCTCCTGAGCAGTCGTGATGCTCAGCTAATTAGCATATTCCCTGTTTATATATATATATAGATAGAAGCCTGGTGCATGAAATTTATGCATGGGGGAGGGGGTCCCTCAACCCAGCCTGCACCCTCTCCTATCCGGGACCCCTTGGGGGATGTTCGACTGCCTCTCGCAATCTTGGACCGCTGGCTCCTAACAGCTTGCCTGCCTGCCTGCCTGATTGCCCCTAACCACCTCTGCCTGCCTGATTGCCCCTAACTGCTCCCCTACCAGCCTGATCACCCCTAACTGCTCCCCTGCTGGCCTCATCGCCCCTAACCGCCTCTGCCTCACCCCGCACCCAGGACCCAAGATTCCCTCCTCTGGCCGGTTGCAGGCACCTAGGACCCGGGCTTTCCTCCCTCTGGCTGGCTGCAGGCACCCAGAACCCGGGCCAGCTTTGCCTGGGCTGGCTGCAGCAGCAGGCGCCCAGGATCATGGGGCTGGAGGCTTGTCCCTCTCCCAGGCTACAGGCACAGGTGCAGCCGCTGGCGCCTGGGACTGCAGGGCAGGTGACTTGTTCCTCTCCCGTGCTGCAGCCTGGCTGGTCCCCATTCCTCTCTCCCCAGTGTTGAGTGTCTGAGCTGTTACAGGGTGATGGCATGAAGGTGTGACAACCATTTGCATATTAGCTCTTTATTATATAAGACACCAATGAAGTTTGCTGCATGGATTGATTCTTCCTTTCATGAACAATTTCTCTGTAGCATGTGATGCTAATTGATAGAATTTTACCAACAGTAGAACTTCTTTCAATGTTGTAGCTACTTTGAACTTCTATCCAGACCACTAAAACTTTCTCCTTATCAGCAATAAGGCTATTTTGCTTATCATTTGTATGTTCACAGGAGTAGCACTTTTAATATCCTTCAACAACTTTTCCTTTGCATTCACAACTTGGCTAACTGTTTGGCATAAAAGACCTAGCTTTTAGCCTATCTCAACTTTTGACATGTCTTCCTTGCTCAGCTTAATTAAATTTCTAGCTTTTTATTTAAAGTGAGAGAATGTTACTCTTCCTTTCATTTAAAAATACCATGATCCATCTATATATTATCTAGAAGAAATTCACCTTTGGTCCAAATACACATTTAGGTTGAATGTGAAAGGATGGAAAAAAGACATTCCATGCAAATAACAACCAAAAGACAGCAGAGAAGACTATTCTAATATCAGACAAAATACATTTTTAAATAAAAAATTGTTACAAAGATTCTGCCTGTGTGGTTCAGTGGTTTAGCATCGACCCATGAAACAAGAGGTCACTGATTCAATTCCTAGTCAGGGCACATGGGCTTGATCCCCAGTAGGAGTGTGCAGGAGGCAGCCAATTAATCTCATTAATGTTTTTTTTTTTTAAATTTCTTTATTGGTTAAGGTATTACAAATGTGTCCTCATTTCCCATTAACCCCCAACCTCCCCGCCCCCTCCCCCCACTCATGCTCTCATCCCCCTGTTGTCCGTGTCCATTGCATGCATACAAGTCCTTTGGTTGATCTCTCCCCCTTACCCCCTTCTTCCCCTACTTTCCCTCTGGGGATTGATAGTCTGATCGCTATTTCTCTGTCTTCATTGATGTTTTTATCTCTCTGTCCCTCACCCTTCATCTCTCTCTAAGTTCAATAAAAACAAATTTTAAAAATTGTTACAAAAGAGCCCCAAAATATATGAAGCAAAAATTGATAAAAATGAACGGAGAAATATATTGTTCTACAATAATAGTTGGAGACTTCAGAACCCACTTTCAATAGTTGATTGAAAAACTAGGAAGAATAATAAGGAAATAGGTCATGTAAACCAATGAGACATAAAACACATATGTAGAACATTTCACACAATAACAATAGAATACATATTTTTTAAATGCACATGGAACATACTCCAACATACTTCATATGTTAGGTCACAAAGCAATTTGCAGTAAATTTAAGATAACTGAAATCAGCCCAGCCAGTTTTGTTCAGTGGATAGAGGGTTGGCCTGCCGACCAAAGGGTTCCAGGTTTGATCCCAGTCAAGGGCACGTACCTTATTTGCAGGCTTCTCGGGCCCTGGCCCTGGTCAGAGGCAACCAATCAATGTGTTTCTCTCACCTCGTTGTTTCTCTCTGTCTTTCCCTCTCTCTTCCACTCTCCCTAAA